GCGATTATGGTAAGGGGCGTTACATTTCCAACGTGTGCTTGTGGTGTTCGGCCAATCACAATGCACTGGGTCAGCTGGCCAATCAGAGCAGACTGCGCTTGTCGGAAGGAGGGACTTTGTAGAAAACGAAGCGTTTGAGAGAGGTGGGGCATAGAGGACCTACAATAATGTACAGTATTTGAAAAATAATGTGAACATTAAACATTAAAGCATGTCAACATATTCTGTTACACCAAATACACCAAATAATGATCTTTAAAAATATGACCCCTTTAAACTCAATAAATAGTTGTCCGTTTGGCAGTAAGTTATTCCTTTAAATGTACCTTTTTACTTTAGTTGTAATGGAGACAACAGACTCTTGATCTTCTAGTACTTTCAAGGATTACAGGTTGGTTATATTCAAGCATAATTTGTTTACTCAAGGTGTATTCAGTTTATTTAACTAAAGACCATGAGATTATCAGTGATGGAGGATTTAAGTGATCAAACACCCAAAAATGAAAATTCATTGCAAACCCATATGACCTTCTCGTGCGAAACACAGTAGGAAACGTTTTGAACAATTATAGTCTCTTTTTCAGACTGAGGCATTGAAACTTTTAAAAAAGATAGGAAAAATTGGTACATGCAACTCTTACACTAGTGTGAAAAACAAGCCAACAAGCCATGATCTTCGCCAGTCACGAAGTTGAACTTAAGAACCGAGCAGATTTGTAAACTAGATCAACATTCATTGGAGAGATTCAAGAGACTGTTTAATTGTGTCCCACATAAGAGAGAACATCTCAAACAGATGGGGTCCCTATAATGTGTGGCAATGCCAAAAATACGTTCTGTTAATGTCCCATCATTATAATTTTCATCTCGAGGCACAATATGGCAAGATGTTTGGATCATGCAATTAAAACTTTTACAGAAACACTCTTCATTCATTAACTGAAAGAATTCAGTTCTCCACATGACAATGTGCTGCAGCAAACAGCCGTGTGAATGGTTAAATCGGAGTGCCGCGCTCAAGAGATTTTTATGCTAAGTGACTGAGCAAATTGAAAACTTCTGCTTTTCTGCATGACATAACTGAATATCTCAGTAAATTGAATTAGAGAAATCAGAGGAGGTTCATCGGTAGACGAGTCTGTTAAAGACTTTCAGTTTAATCTAATGTGGTCTGGGGAGTCTCAACTGTTAGCCAAACCATTGTGCACAGCTTATGTAAGGTTATGTATGTTACAGGAATAGTTCAGGAATAGTAGATTTGGAGAAATTTGGCATCACTTGCTCACCAATGGATCCTCTGCAGTGAATGGGTGCCGTCAGAATGAGAGTCCAGACAGCTGATAAAAACATCACAATAATCCACAAATAATCCATACCACTCCAGTCCATCAGTTAACATCTTCTGAAGTGAAAAGCTGCATCTTTGTAAGAAACAAATCCATCAAGACATTTTTAACTTCAAACCATTGCCTCTGGCTAAAATATGAGCCTTCTATCCATAATATTACCTTCTCCAGTGAAAAAGTCATCCTGGTGCAATTGTATAACAAGATAAAACACCAATGCTGATTTTGCAACAAACAAAGGCTCTTCGCTCCAGGCAGAATCATGCAAATCCACTTTGCACCGTTCGCACACTCTGGTATGTGTCAGCTACAAAAGAGTTTTGACTTTACAGCTGAAAAACCTCAGATCAAATCTGAAATGTGCTTTCTAGACAAGAGTGTTTCAGAGCAAAGCCTGAACTCGAACCCATATTGAAAATCTACAGTTCACAAGCACTTCTCATTAAATCTGATAGATCTTGACAGAATCTGCCCAGAAAAGTGTAAGAACCTCCTCCAATCCTTTGGCACAATGATCTGACTCAGTTCTTTGGATGCAAGGACATTAATGGTAGAGGTTCACCTTTCAGAAGAAATAAATACAAGTAAAGATGTAAAAAGAGCTGTATTCCTCTTAGGTTTTGTTGGATAACAAGGCCGCAGTGCATGTTTTGTAGTACTTTGATGCTGTTTGTGCAATGTGTGCGCAGGCAGAAGAAACGTGGTTTTAAATTATAACGCTAAGGGTTGGTTTCAGTGACCCGTAGTAAATTATGCCTCAGTACCTCCTTGCATCTTTAAATTGCATTTAAAGTGTAATTGCATAAATAATGACAAACATGTTTCCTGATTCTGATTCTGATTCCCTTCTTTCCACATTGGTTGGACAAACAGTGTTCATAGTGTTTGACAGAAACTTTTGATGTTCAGTGCCACAGCTCTGGTAAACTGTGATCAAAGCTTTGTGTGTGTGTTGTCGTGCTGCATGAGCTGGTGTAGGAGTGTCTCCAGGCATTGTGATTGAAACTGTGAAGATTGACTGACACTGTGAGATCGTGTGAGATCCCAACACCTCCTCTGTTCCAACAGGAATGACGTAGATTTACACCAGGTTTAAGGGATTCTCAAGCGTAGGAGATGTGCCAACCTGATCTGTTATTGTCACATTAATGTTTGAAAGGCTGTTGATCCACCTACTATCATCATTTACAATATAATGTGTTGAAG